TTGAGCTATAGGCGCCGAGCCATTTTAGGCATTTTCAATAAAATATCTGAGTAACGACAATTCTCTAACCTATGATCTTAGTTTTGTTGTTTTTATTGTATTGACTCTTTGAATTCACAAGACTAACACTTAGTTTGGAGCTTGGTGATTATTTGAATGGTTTCTTACAATACTCACACAATACTGATAATAAACTATTTTATGTTTGCCTGACATCTTCCCAAATAATGATGAGATCACTATACTTTTGTATGTCATCAGCATTCATTAGGTATTCAACATTTAACAATATCAAAGCCATAAAAATGTTGACTCTCTTTCACCCATTCTGACAATGTATACTAATTGGCCAAATGGAAAACAGTAAGTACACAATGAGGTCATTAGAATAACATAAACATTGAGAAAGTAAATCTGCTCAATAAAACACTACATATTTATTTAAAATGCTATATCTGGGCCTGGCACAGCTGCTTATACCTGTAATCCCAGCACTTTGGGAGGTCAAGGTGGGGGACTGAAGCAAAGTGAGACTACTTCCCTACAAAAACTATAAAAAAAATAGCTAAGTTTGGTAGTACATGCCTATAGTCCCAGTCACTTGGGAAGCTGAGGCAGGAAGATCACCTGAGGCCAGGAATTCAAGGCTATAGTGAGCCAAGATCATACCACTGCATCCCAGCCTCAGTGACAAAGCAAGATCTTGTCTCAAAAAAAAAAAAAGAAAGAAAGAAAGAAAAGTTGGACTGGAAGATAAAACAGCAACCCCCAGAAATGCTTAAGATAATAAAAATATCAGTAGAAAAAAAATAGGGCATAAAACTACATTAGGATTATAACCATGTTAAAGAAAAAAAAAGATCATGTAATATAAGAGTATACTACTTAAAATGATTTTACTTGGGCAGCGCCTGGGGCTCAAGGAGTAGGGTGCCGGCCCCATATATCGGGGGTGGCGGGTTCAAGCCGGCCCCGGCCAAAACTGCAAAAAATAAAAATAAAAAAAAAGATTTTACTTTCATAAAGGTCAAAGGAAGCAAAACTAATTCATCTATGATGTCAGGATAGTGGTCACTCTTGAAGTGAGGAGGGGTGTAAGTAGCAGGAGAATTCAGAGGAGTTTCTGTGATGCTAGTTATATTACTTCTTGACTTTTGGTAGTTACATGTTAGTTACTTTGAAAATCCATCAAGCTACACACTTGAAATTTGTGCGCTTAACTCTTTTTGGAGGAGTCTCACTCTGTTGCCTAGGCTGGAGTGCCATGGTGTCAGCCTAGCTCACAGCAACCTCAAATTTGCCTACCTCAGCCTCCTGAGTAGCTGGGACTACAGGTGCCCACCATAATGCTTGGCTAATTTTTCAATTTTTTGTAGAGACAGGGTCTCACTCTTGCTCGGGCTGGTCTCTAACTCCTGAACTCAATGGATTCTCCCACCTCAGCCCCCTAGAGTGCTGGGATTATAGGCATGAGCCACCACATCCAACCAATTTTAAAACTCCTATCTAAAAATAAAATATTTCCAATTAGTAGTCAGTGATTTAAGGTAGCAAAATTATATAACCTTTAATTTCCTCAATTTTAAAGATTTTCTGAAATTGGGCGGTGCCCGTGGCTCAAAGGAGTAGAGCACCAGCCCCATATGCCAGAGGTGGTGGGTTCAAACCCAGCCCCAGCCAAAAAAAAAAAAGATTTTCTGAAATTTATGTTGAGGTCACCTTAAATCCTTTCTAGAACAATGAAGTATTTTCTATGTGTCAGACCCTGTTCAAACCTGCTTGTTTATATTTTGAAGAGGTTAAGTTTATGGTTCGGTGCCTGTAGCTCAGCAGCTAGAATGCTAGTCACATAACCGGAGCTGGCAGGTCTGAACCCAGCCAAACAACGAGAATTACAACAACAACAACAACAACAAATAAGCAGGTGGTGTTGTGGACACCTGTAGTCCCAGTTACTTGGGAGTCTGAGGCAAGATAATCACTAAAGCCCAAGAGTTGGAGGTTGCTGTGAGCTATAACATCATGGTACTCTACCGAGGGCAACATAGTGAGAGAAAAAAAAAAAAGAGTGAAGATTAAAAGTGAAGAAACTATGACAGAGAGGTTGAGTAATTTGCCCAAGATTACACATAATGTAAGCCAGATACTCTGGCTCCCAAGTCTACACCATACAACCTCTCTAATAAAATTTTATTTTTTTAATAGTTTAAAAAAAGTTTTTTTTTTTTTT